CACGAGCGGTAGGCACGACACACGCAACGGTCACCAGCCCAACCCAAAGACCGAACTCACACCGTCAGACTGATTCTGACTCACAGCCACCCCTTTGGGTTTCCGAGGCAGCAAATCTTCACGGAAGCACATTGTCCGGTCTTCCTTCCACGGAGTGGCTGGTGGGTTTGAGCCACCAACCTTCTGGTTGGCAGCTGCCCACTTAACCACAATATAAACACACCACCCTCACAGAACACACCCCACACTCAGTGCAAAACATCGAGCAGAGGGCAGAGTCTGCTCAGCCAGCCTGGTCCGTGGGCGGCCCAGCCTCCCTGGGACCGCAGCTTGGCCAGGTTCCACTACCCTGGCATTCCCAGGGTACAGCAGCGAACACCAGGAGGACGGTGGAGAGTGGGGGCCACACAGCCTCATGACGGAGGAGTCCCCCAGCTTCCCAGGCCTGGGGGCTCCTCTACCGCCACCTTCACAGCCACTCTGTTTACCCTTCTGGCGGCAGCCCTCACTATGGCAACACACCCAAGCTGCTAGCAGGCAGAGCCTGGCCTGCAACCCTACCCGGGCCACTTTCTGCAGTATTTGTCACAAGGCCCAGGTGGTGTCTCCCTGGCCGGGACAGAGGCCCCTCCTTTACTCCCTGAGCACCACCACCACCACCACCACCCATGGGCCTCCCCTCAGGAACCTCTGCCGCCCCAGGGCCTGGGTTCAAATCCTACCTGGGCCTAAGCCACGCGACACTCCCTTCTGCACGCATCTGTGGCCCCGCCATGCCCTGAAGCTGCTCCCAACGAAGCAGTGAGTGAATCCCAGCCCCGCCCTTGTGGCACCTACATTCCCAGAGGGAGAGGGGCACAGAAACCCACCCACAACAAAGCTGCGTGGAAATTCCCAAGAAGGTGAGGGCAGAGATGTGTGCACAGGGAGTGAAAGGCTAACTGCACCAAGACCTAAGACAGGGAACAGCACGCCCAGCACAGGGAACAGCAAGGGTTGTCCTGAGGCTAGAGCACACATCTATGAGTGAGAAACAGAACGAGGCCTCTAGTCACTCCTCCATGCAAACCCCCACAGCGGCCCCTCCACCCTCAGGCCAGAACTCTGACCCCCAGAGTGGCCCCTCCACCCTCAGACCAGAACCTAAACCCCACAGAGGCCCCTCCACCCTCAGTCCAGATCCCTGAACCCCACAGCGGCCCCTCCACCCTCAGGCCAGAACCTAAACCCCACAACGGCCCCTCTACCCTCAGGCCAGAACTCTGACCCCC